TGTGTAGAGGAGGCCACGTGGTTGGATCTGTGTGAGAATCAAGAAGCTACATTGATGTGCTTGTGTGATCAGGATAGAGGAACCTTAAGAGTTGCATGCCAAGAGCAAGGAAAGAGAGAAATTGAGCGTTTGTGTAGGAAGGGAAAGCGAGAGATCTTGTGGGATTTAAGATTTTTTTTTGGCACTCTATATATCAATAGAATGTGTAACCCAACAACTATAGTTGAACCGGCAGCTTTGGTTAAATTGGTGAGATTGAACTAGGAGACTTCAACAAGATGGGATTCCTAACATGCGTGTGTTGCATGTTGTATGGTCAAGCATGGAGCATTGTGATGTGCACACATCATCATACTTCGTTACGTTCGAGTCATTGCAATAGAGAGCGTTGCTTCTTTGCATTGCAATGCTGCCTTTCAAAGGTGCGCTTCAAAGTATGCTTTTAACAACACTAAAAGTAACAAGTTATACTTTAACCAAGTTAAACAATCATTATTTTTCTATAGCAATGTGAACATGCATTCATCACTACTTTTCTTGTTCAGAGTTGAAATTTCAATCATCTTTTTGTATGTCAAATGTTTGTGAAATTTTAAAATTTATTTCTTACATTAAAAATATAACATTATTAACTGTTTAGTCTTCTTCATTTCACTACTGCATATGTAATGACTAGTGATGTTATTCATATTGCGTAATTTTTTGTATAACAATTAAGATATATTGCTAGTTGTCTTGGTTCAATCTATACAAGGTTGTTTTTGAATGCCAAGCCTTATGTGTTATGTGATTTGATTGAGCTGTTCTATAATTTATGTGTAGAGATATGATATTTCTTGTTAAATATATTGTATGTGTCATCTTAAGTTAAATTAAATGTACTTCATGGACATACATGTCAACGCACCATGGAGCATGGCGCGGCGTGGCGTGGCGCACATACGATGCTATTTGCTTGGTGTGGCACAAAACATCAAAATAGCGTGTGCTATTTGCGCCATGCATGGCAATGGCACATGGCGCAAATGACGCACGTTATTTTGTTAGCATGGTATAAATTTTAAATTATAAATTAGAATTAATTTTTTTAATGTTTATATATTAATATCACAATTAATGATTAATTAGTTAAGTATCAAATTAATAAAATATAAAAAAAATTTAAAGTATTTTACTTTTTTTTGTAGAATTTAAAGTTGTCATTTTTGCTATTTAGCAGGATTTAGTCTAAATTATGCTTAAATCTGGCTCAAATCTATTGATATGAGTTTCTATAAGATTTAAAATTATCATTTTTACTATGTAGCAGAATATTTATGCTTAAATTTTATTCTAATCAACATATTATTTTCTATTTAATGGTATTTAATATATATATCGAGTAATTTGGTGTCCAAGGTATTTAAAATTATCGAGTAATTTTTTAGAAATTGACATCTTATAAAAAACACAAGGTGCCAACCCTTGCATTTTACTTCAGGCAATTTTGGGGCTAGACAATTTAATGGTACCTAGATAGTATTCCTGTTGTTGTGCTAGATTTATTCGATCTTTGGCCAGCCACCCTTAAATTTTTTGAAATAGAAAGCATAGCCCGACCAAGTGCCTTGTCTTTATTAGAAGCCTGAGTGGAACCCTGTCTTTTGTGAATATAACTTATAAAATTGAAGTTTTGGAGACTTAAGGGAGGCTAGAGGAGCGGAGAGCTTTAAGGAAGTCTTTCAAAGCATAATTGGTCTTAGAGGTTTATTTAAGTCATTAAGAAAAATAGAAAAAAATAGAATTGTGGTGATTTATGTGGCTTATGCCATGGACAACAATGTTTGATATGGCATATGGACAACAATGTTTGATATGGGCTACTTGCAAGAAAGGTTGATGGTACCACTGAGTAGAAGCGTGGTCTTTGAAGTCCCACCATGGGCTTACCTATGCTATTATTAGAAACTTCAATTGTGCTTGCTGTGGTTATTATTGCGGCTTATGCCATTGAGAATATGGTTTGATGAAGGTCACTTGCAAGAATAGTTGCATTTGGTGCTACTAACCTTTACATATTGACTCTGATTGGGGTACAAAATGATCGAAGGGAGAGGCCTGGAAGCTATATGAGGGAATAATTGCTTCTGCATGATGGTGGGGAGTTTACCATTAGGAATGTATAAGTGTTGTTTTTTGGGCGAATGTCTTTTTTCAAATGTAGACAATTTGAGAGGTTGACTGAGAGTGGGGAGTTTCTGTGCTTGAATGAGACATTGAGACTTGAATGCTTGCTTTGGGAAACTTTTAATACTAGGTTTTATTGTCATCATTAGCCTTATCCTAATTATTTGGGGTTGTTCTACTGAATCCTACTTCCATTTGTTATTTTTAAGTCCTGTTTTAAGAGTTAAACTTGTTCTTTACACAACTTATATCCATGTAATGTTAAAAATTCTGCAATCGGGTATTGAAGTATTTTACATTTGTGGGGCATGGTATAAGACTAGAGCCATAAGCTTAAAAAAATTGTACACGGTAAAATTATCGTTAAGAAGTAATAGATTAGTATCCTAATTCACTAATATATTAAAAAATACATTTTAGCATTCTAACATATTAAGGAGTAACAAACTACACAAATATTAAGTAAAAAATTGCGCAAAGTATTAAATAACAAATTGTGCAAAATAGAAGGGTAATGCAAAAATCAAAGTAATATAAGATATCAAAGTAAGTAGTAAGAAGTGACTAAGAACTATAGTAATACCATTTGAAAATATGTTTGACACAATAAATTTATTTTTTTCACTCATATTGTTCAACATTCTGATAAGAATATTATAAAGTAACTAATTAGTCCTCAACACTCTTAGCACTCAAGCGGTCTTGATTTGAGTCCTCATCATAATCAATAACTTTTGAAAATATGTTTAACACAATAAATTTGATTTTATCACTCATACTGTTCAACATTTAAATAAGAATATAACAAAGTAACTAATTAGCCCTAAGCACTCTTAGCACTTAAGTGGTCTTCATTAGAGTTGTTATCATAATAAATAAATTGCTCCCTTTCCTCATATTCAGTTGTGTTGATGTTCTCTCAATCTCAATTCAAAATGTAACATTTGAAAATATGTTTAACACAATAAATTTATTTTTCTTACTCATACTGTTCAACATTCAAATAAGAATATAACAATGTAACTAATTAGTCCTTAGTACTCTTAGCACTCAAGCAGTCTTCATTATGATGTTACATTAATATCTAAACACTATATATAAAAAAATATAATGCCGTGTCTGCGCCGTAAATATGTCCTATATTTTCAAAAAAAGTCGTGTCCCGTGTCCGTGTCCGTGTCGTGTACGTTTCTCCGTGTTCGTGTCGTGCATCATAGATTTAAATTATTACAAATGTTTGTTAGAATTGAGAGTCATGCTTATTTTAATTGATAAATCTTAAAAAATACTTGGAGAACATTTTGCAACTGTATCTTTGGCTTGTTTTAATCCTAAGAATCATTCCTTGTGTTTGAATGTTGCAAGTTGCATAGTAGCATTCCCCCTTTTAGTTTAGTCAGATATCAACCTATCCATATAATAGTATAATCCTAATTTAATCTCAGGATTGGTCGACTTATTCTTGACATTTTGGAAGTGAGGATTAAGATATATTTAATAACATGCAAATGACAATAGAGTTGAAACTCTCGCTTCCCATTAATGATTTCTCAAATCTCCTTATAACTGAACTCATCTCCTCTTAAGTTATGGACTATCAGCATTAGGTATAAAAAATCTATATATTTGAGATTGCATGCAATTTTTTCCAATATGCATGCATTCAGGAAAGAAAAAGCTGTTATTTCACTAGCATCTTCTAAGCCTGATATGAATGGACCATGCATTTACCCTAACTTGATTTTAGTCTTAGTCTTAAAATTCTATTTATGCTTATAAAAGGTGTGCCACTCCACTTAGGAGTTGGCCATTATTCTTGATTATTTATGATCTGTACACAACAGTCGTTTTCGTAAACTGCTCATTAGCGAGGAAGTTTATTTTATTTGCTCAGTGATGTTCACAAAGATTTTGATGGTCAATGTGAACATATACGAAATGCTCCAGTTGATATTTTAAGCTGGAGAAAATTCTAGTTGCTAATATGCTCAAGCTTATGCGACAAAGCTGCAATTCTTCCTATTCTCTTTGCTTTCGATTTGCATGCTTCAGTTACTAGAAATATTTATGATTTATCTCACTACGTGTTTCTTTTGATGCTTTTGATCTATATAGTTGCTTTTTCTCTGTTCACAGCATGAATCTCAATGTTTTGTTGATTGGTTCCGTTTTCATGCAGGCATTTTTTGACGCAGAAATAAAGAAAATGAATGTAAAAAATGCATACTTTCCTCTATTCGTAACAGAGAATGTTCTTCAGAAGGAGAAGAATCATATTGAGGGTTTTGCTCCAGAGGTAAGAGTTAACTTATTGTTATAGTTTATATTATCTTTATGGATGATATATTGTGTTCATATTCTCTATCTTATATTTAACTTAATTTTTTAGTTTCTAAATTTGATTATGTGGTGTGAGTTGATTTATTGTTTTAGTTTATATTATCTTAATGGATGATGTATTCTGTTTACATTCTCTATGTCGTGCTTTTAACTTTCAGATCAATGTTAGTAGTTAGCTGGCAGGCATGCACTGGAAATCACCTTTCAGGAAATCCATGTATTGTCAATTAGCTTAGCCTTATTATTTGCTGCTTAACAGCTCGTTTTCGACCAATAACATTAGCCTAGAAGTTGGTGCCATTACATTTACAAAAACAATAAACAAAATATGAATAATAACGATTTTGAAAATGGTAAGATGGTTGAGTTGGCTCCTTTTTTTGTTGAATAGTTTTTAATTGTTCTGGTTGAACTCATTTGTTTGTTTTGTTAGGAGTCTGGATGCAAAATTAGTATCAAATGATTATGCGGGATAGAGCTTAGGTAACATGGACAGAATCCTAATTGTTCAAAATGATTTGCAAAGAATATATAAAACACCTCAAAACACTTGCTAGGACCTAACGGAGTGAGGATTTATGAAGCTGACCCCAAATAGATGGGATAAGGATAATAATTACAGTGATGATGATGGTGCTTGCAAAATTATATTAAGGATGCTATTTATGCTTAGTAAATTTTTGGCTTGTTTGAACTAAGGAAATATCGAATCTCCATTGACTTGTCTTTGTGCTGTCTTTCTTATGCAAGCATATTTTTCTCATAGAAGCTGCTGAAATGTTTTTGGTACTTTGATATATATTGACTGGTAGGAGTGAATTCACTTTTATAAGTTATAGTGAAGTATCTCAACGAGATTTATCATTCATCATCAGTTTTTAAACATTGAAATCTGCCATTTCAGTCTGTATTAGGTGCACTTATTTGAAAATACTGCAGTATTTGTGTATTCTACAGCATCTGCGTAATGGCTAGTGGTGGGATAAAAAGAGTACAAATAATTCTCTAAATAAGACAGGATAAAAAAACAACCTTTGAGCTAATTTAGCTTAGAACTGCATCTCTTTATACTTTTGTGATAGGGAGGGATTAACTGGTCCATCTTGTTTCTCAAGATGCAACTTGTTATGTCTGTTTCTACTCAACTTCTGGTTGGGAAACACGACACTTCTTTGTAGCTGAATCGTTGCATATTTTTGTAGTCCATTAGGGTTTGTTTGGAGCAGCTTTGAAAATGCTTTCTAGATCATCACTATATTTTCTTTTGGCTAATGTTTTTTTACTGCTTATAATTTTTTTGTTGTAGGAAGCTACTTTTTTAAATTAGATTTGCTTGAGTATGGTAACTGTAATCAGCTTTTTCAAAGCGTTAAATGTAATGCGAGGTGTCAGGGTTCCTTTTTTGCTTCAGTTCGCAAAGTGAACTGATAATTTTATGAACTAGTGTGTTCACAACTTGAATATTATATATTATGTACACATAGTAGGCTATTTAATCAAACTAAAATCACATAATGTAATAAATTTCAATGAATATAATAAGATATTAAATAATACTGATATTCACTTGGAAAGCTAAAAAAAGAACAAAGACATAAGTAATAAATTGACGAAACAATACTTAAAATCAAGAATAATCTTGAGATTGAGCTTTAGCTTGAGACCAAGAGGCTGAGGTAGTGTGAAATGTGAGAAACAGTTAATACGAGGCATCGTGAAGTATTCTCAGAAGAAGATTGTGAGCAAGTAGTAACTAGTTGCCAACAACAAGAACCAGTGAGAATTATATAAGAAACTAGCTGGCAAGAGAGAGTAACAATAATAACGACAAACAAAAGAATAGTTCTAACATGAGAGAATGGAGAATCAACGAGCAATGACTCAATGATTATGAGAAACAATGAAAAGAAGCGAATGCTTGTGGCTAGTTGTTGCAACAATGTTAAATTGAATCAGCATTTTATTACAAGGTGAAGTCAAGCACATTGCGCTACAATGTGAAGCATCGTGATGTGTGTGCTTCACAGGCAAGCTATGACCCATACATCGTTTCGCTTTGTTGCTAAAGCACTAGTTGTAATGAAGTTGATGTCTAACTTAAAAAAAAAAATACGAGCTACAAATTTTAGACGAGGTACTTTCCCCACAAAATCCTACGTTGTAGGATAAAGGCTTGTTCTACTTTTCCCGCAAAAGCTTTGTAACTACATTTATAAAGGCTGTAGCCTCCCCAAATGAACCCTTTGTGTTGAATTGCCTATAATATAACTTTGAGTCACTTGGAACCAACTACTATTCTGGTAAATGGGTGAAAAGTTACTCGGCCTTAGTACATTTCTTTTGATGAACTTGGAAGTTCAAGGCCATAATATGTTGGTGATGGAGCCCAGACAAACTGATAGGAAATATTTGAGTTCGCAAACCCTGAGTTCGCAAGCAAACCTAACCAAAACGGAAGAGCAAACAACAGAATTACTGCTGTTTACAACAGTAAACATCACTAAACAGAGAAAATCGGATGGAAAACTGAAACAAAACCAAGCAATTCACTTGTATTCCACTATTAGAAGAATAAAAACAGAAAAGATACAAATGTTCTTCGATTCGAGAGAAAGAACGACTCTCCAAATCTCCAGCAACGTCAAGAGCCCAAAAGACAAGAACCCTGGATCTCATATCTCATTCAAATTCAAGATAATCCTAATTCCCTCATATTCCCCTAATTAACATGAAAGGAGAATTACAACTTACCTAATCAACCCTTACATTCAAATCTTTCCCCCCAAAAATTGCATTAAGCCCATCATGGGGCCCACAGGAGTTCCTCCCCCCTCTACCTGTTTCTTCCGCCAAACAAACACCTGGATCGGTCCAGCCGGCCTCTCCTGGGTCTGCGTGAGAGTAGCAGGCGTAACATTACTCCCCTCCCAAAAACTCACCTTGTCCTCAAGGTGAAAAGAGAGAAATTGCTCTTTCACTCTGTCAAATTGTTCCCAAGTAGCATCAAAATCAGGCAGATCCTTCCATCGAATCAGTACTTCCTTATTGCCCTCTTTATCAGATCTTACCCTATAAGCTCCAGTGGTTCTAAATTCACTTCCAACTCCTCCATCATTGATGCAGGTAACTCTGCACTAACTGCATGCTCTCTTAGCGCTCTCCTCAGCAGTGACACATGGAACACCGGGTGTATGGTAGTGGAGGCGGGTACTTTCAGACGATACGCCACAGCGCCAATCTTCCCCAAGATCTCACAGGGACCAAAATACCTCGGAGCCAGTTTCTCGTTCCGCCTATTAGCCACTGATATCTGTCTGTAGGGCCTTAGCTTCAAGAACACATTCTCCCCCACTTCAAACTGCTTGTCCCTCCTGTGTGAATCCGCCTGTCTCTTCATAATTTGTTGTGCCCTCTGCAGATGTTTCTTCAACTCTTCTAGCACCTTGTCCCTTTCCTCCAAATACTGCTCCACTGACGACACTGGTGTGCTTCCCTTCCCATAGTGCACTAGGTGTGGGAGGTCTCTGCCATACATCACCTTGAAAGGCGTCATTTGAGAAGCAGAATGGTACGAGGTATTGTACCAATATTCGGCCCAAGGTAACCACTTCACCCACATCCGCGGTGTTTTGGATGCAAAACACTTCAAATATGTTTCCAAGCTCCGGTTTACCACCTCCGTTTGTCCGTCAAAATATGGATGGTAGGCAGTACTTCTCTTGAGAATCATGCCTTGCATTCTAAAAAGCTCCTTCCAAAACTGGCTAAGAAACACCTTGTCCCTGTCAGACACAATCAACTCAGAAACCCCATGTAATCTCATCACTTCCCTGATAAATGCTGCCGCTACTGATACGTCGTTGTAAAGATGTCGTAAGAGAATAAAATGAGCATACTTGCTAAGTCGGTCCACCACTACCAAAATGACCGTGAATCCTTCTGAGCGAGGGAGGCCGTCAATGAAGTCCATAGATACTTCCTCCCACATTTTGTTTGGAAGTGCTAATGGTTTAAGTAGCCCTCCTGGTGCCATCGTCATATATTTATTTCTCTGACATACCTCATACCTTGCTACCATCTCTTCAACATTCTTATACATCCCCTTCCAGTACAGCTCCGCTGCCAGCCTTCTGTATGTCTTATGTACTCCTGAATGCCCCTGAACAGCACTGCCGTGAAATTCCTGTAGTAAGTGAGGAATGTATGCTGATATTCGTGGCATCACGAACCTCCCCTGATGTAACAACTTCTCCCCCTCCAAATAGTACCCCGAATGGCTACTACTATCCTTCCTCAAGTCTTCCTTGATTTTCTTCAGCTCCTCACTCTGCAGGCTTTCTTCTTTGATGCCCCCCCAGTTAACCATCATTGGTACTAATACTGCCAACTCCTGAAGTCCCCCAACACATCTGAATAAGGCGTCAGCCACCTTATTTTTCACCCCTGGTCGGTACTGGATCTCAAAGTCATAGCTCAAAAGCTTTGACAACTACCTCTGATGTTCCTCGGTTACCATCTGTTGTGCCAACAAGTATTTCAAACTCCTCTGGTCATTACGAACAATGAAGTGCCTCCCCAAAAGATAAGTGTGCCACTTCTAAATGGCTAGGACGATGACCTTCATCTCTCTCTCATATACTGACTTCAATCGAGCCTTGGTCAATAGCACCTGACTGAAATAGGTTACAGGCTTGTGATCCTGCATCAAAACTGCTCCCAAGCCATACCCTGATGCATCAGTCTCCTTTTATCTAAGTTTTAAAAATCCCGCTTAAATTTAAAAATTCCCGCCCATGGCTGTCGAGCCGGCTCGAGCTCGTTTACAGTTAGACGAGCTCGAGTTCGAGCTCGCTTTCCATGTAACGAGCCGAGCTCGATAAGGGTATAAACTCAACTCGACTTGACTCGTTTACACCCCTAAGGCCACGCGATGGTACTGTACCCCTTCACAAACCTCCTATAGTAACCAGTCAGACCTAGGAAACCTCTCAACTCCCTTATGTTCTTAGGCCTTGGCCAGTTCTGCATGGCCTCAATCTTGGACTGGTCGGCTGCCACTCTCTCTTGAGACACCACGTGTCCCAAATACTCCACCCTCGACTGGGAAAAATTGCACTTCTTTAAATTAGCTTTCAACTGATGCTCCTGTAGGATCTTCAGAACCTCCTTCAGGTGCTCTAAGTGCTCCTCCTCAGTTTGGCTGCACACCAAAATATCATAAAAAAAAACTCGCACGAACTTCCTGAGATGCTTCCTGAACACTCTGTTCATCAAAGACTGAAAGGTAACAGGGGCATTAGTGAGCTCGAAAGGCATCACCAATAACTCGTAATGCCCCTCGTGCGTCCTGAAAGCCGTCCTCTGAATATTATTTTTCTTCATTCTGATTTGGTGGTAGCCTGACTTCAGGTCCATCTTAGAAAACATTACTGCTTCGTGCAACTCATCTAGCAACTCGTCAATCATCGGAATAGGGAACTTATTTGGTATTGTCTTCCTGTTGAAAGCCCTGTAATCCATGCAAAACCTCAAGCTCCCTCCTTCTTGACTAGTAGGACGGGGCTAGAGAAAGGACTCACGCTGGGCTGACTATTCCTGCCTCCAACATCTCCCTGATCAGCTTCTCGATTTCATCTTTTTGAATGTGAGGGTATCGATAAGGTTGAACACTAATTGGTGACACCTAATCTTTCAGAAGGATTGCATGCTCTTGCTCTCTGGGTGGTGGTAAGTCCTGAGGTGGCTGGAACACCTCCCTGAACTGCTATATGAGTGTTGCACCACTAGTGGAATGTCTTCCTCATCCCCCACACTCACCCTCTCCAAGCGCTACAGCTCCACCATATATCCACCGCCCACTTCCTGTATGGATCTAATCATGGATTTGAGAGATACCCCAACCTTGATCAGGCCGCATCACCCTGAATTGTCCTCCTTCCTCCCATCACCAGTTCCATCCTCAGTGTCCCCCAATTGATTTTGGTCTCCCCTAATGTTTGCAGCCACTCAATTCTTAGGATGACAACAGTACTCCCCAATTCCAAGGGAAGAAAGTCCTCCCTTACCTGGATCCCCTGAATCTTCAGCACTACCCCTCTGCAAACTCCTCTACCCATTTCCACCTTTCCCGTGCCCATCATCACCCCATAACCTCCTGTATCCACTAACTCCATTCCCAACAACTCAACGATCTGGGGGGAAATGAAATTGTGGGTTGCCCCACCACTGTCAATCAACACCACTACCTCACGGTCAGCTATCTCTCCTTTCATTTTCATAGTGTGACTCAGAGTGAATCCCACTGCAGAGTTCAGAGAGACTTCTGCCACATCCAGGTGCAACTTCTCCTCCTCCCCCTCTTCATATCTGCTCCCACCTCTCTCTTCGTCTTCCTCGTCTTCATAGACAAGGAGAACTTGAAGAGTTCGGTCCTTGCACCTATGCCCCAGCATGTATTTCTCATCACATCTAAAGCACAACCCCTTTGCCCTCTTATCCTACATCTCATTCTCTGTCAACTTTTTGAATTGTCCCTCATTCCCCCCTCCAGTTTTCTCCTTTGGTGCTTCCTTCAGACCCCCTAGTACTGCCCCTTTTGATGGTAAGAATGTGGTAGTCATCTTGTATGATCCCCTGAATAGTTCCCTCGAGCTCCTCTTTCTGATTTCTTTTGATCTTCCACCAACTGCGCCAGCTCCATTGCCTTCCCTAGGTTCCTCGGCTCTAGCACCCTGACTGCTGTTCGTATCTTTGGTTTTAGCCCCTTCATGAAGTTCCCTTCCAGGGCTGACTCTGAAATGTGATCCAATCTGCTAGCCAAGCACTCGAACTTATCCCGGTAGTCTGCCACGGTCCCTTCCTGAGTCAAAGCAAAGAATTTCTCATAGAAGTCTCTTCCCCCATCGGCTCGGAAACGCTCCAATAAGCAATTTTTGAACTCTCTCTAGCTTCGTATGAGCTCCCTCCTATCACGCCACTGATACCAGGCCAAGGCTTTTCCTTCCAAACACAATCCCGCCGCCGTTAGCTTCTCTTCCTCTATCAACCCATTGACCGCGAAGTAACGCTCCACCTTGTAGATTCAACCATGACCATCTTCACCCTAAAAAACGGGCATCTTCAGCTTCCTCACCCGTGGGTCTCCCCCTTGTCCCCTGAATCCTCCATAATCTCCCATTCCTCGAAGAGGAGGTGCTCCCCAACTGTCACGATCTTCCCTATGGCGATTATATCTGAATCCTTCATCATATTCACCTCTTCTCCCTTCAAAATCAGCACCTCGGCGATGGAATTCTTCCTTTCTTCCGATGAAATCAACACCCCTCCGGTCATTTCCCAAACTCATCTCCTCTCTTGAAAGTGGCTCTAGAGGTGGCATGTCGTCCTCCCCCTCAATGACATCCACTTCCGGATTTCTCCTCCCCCTAAACGGGTTTGGATTTCCTCCTACACCATGGCCTCCGGTGGTCTCTCTTGCTTCCGATCTCGTAGGATTTGTCTTCAACTCCAACAGTTTCTTCAACATTTCTTCCATCACCGCGAATTTCCCCTCTATCTTTTCATTGTTGGAGGTGATTTGTGTTTGAAAGTCAAAGAAGTTTTCCTCCAAATCTGATTTTAGTTGACCGATCTCGCCTTCCAAGACCTCTACCTTCTTCCCGGCCATCTATCTTCCCAAGAATCACGAAGATCTTCTTCCGGTAAAAAAAATCCCGCTGAAATTTCAGGATTTCAGCCGCCTACGGTCCCAAATAGATGCTCTGATACCAATTTGATAGGAAATACTTGAGTTCGCAAGCAAACCTAACCAAAACAGAAGAGCAAACAACATAATTACTGCTGTTTACAGCAGTAAACCGCACTAAACAGAGAAAATTGGATGGAAAACTGAAATCAAACCAAGCAATTCACTTGTATTCCACTAATAGAAGAATAAAAACATCAAAGATACAAGTGTTCTTCGATTCGAGAGGAAGAACGACTCTCCAAATCTCCGGCAACACCAACAACCCAAAAGACAAGAACCCTAGATCTCAAATCTCATTCAAATTCAAGATAATCCTAATTCCCTCCTATTCCCCTAATTAACATGAAAGGAGAATTACAACTTACCTAATCAACCCTTACATTCAAATCTTTTCCCCCCAAAAATTGCATTAAGCCCATCATGGGGCCCACAGGAGTTATGCCCCCTCCCTGTTTCTTCCGCCGAACAAACACCTGGACCGGTCCAGCCGGCCTCTCCTGGGCCGGTGTGAGAGCAGCAGGCATAACACAAACATGCAACGGTCTGAGCTTCCTATGATTTTAATCATTGGCTTGAATATCAGTTACCAGTGCTACAATCAAACGAAGGATGCTGTCATATATATACCCTTTCTGAAATTGAAGGCTGCAGTAATCCAGTGAACATAGTATGCATATTCATCACAGACCATCTTGGTACTGGAGCACATTTTGTTCTCAATTGATGCCTGTTAATATATGGGGTTGCTAGTAACTCCAGATTCCATGTTAAATGCAAATCGACTTGTTTATTGTTTATGCAACTAGCCCAATACTTGATACGATATGAGTTCAAATTTATCCTACTTCGACCACCACTTAAGTTTATTAATCCTGTTTTTGTTCTTTGAAAACATTTTATATGTTCTTTAATATTCAAATATATGATTGAGGTTGGGGTTGGAAAATGGAGGGCTGTTGATTATCTTTTGCTAATTTTTGAAGTTCTGTAATTCTACCTGTGTTTAGATTTAATTTGGGATAGATATGCTACCTTTATTTGTTTTCAGGTTGCCTGGGTTACTAAGTCTGGACAGAGTGATCTGGAAGTACCTATTGCCATTCGTCCAACAAGTGAAACTGTGATGTATCCATATTTTTCTAAGTGGATAAGAGGCCACAGAGACTTGCCATTGAAGCTAAACCAATGGTGTAATGTTGTACGATGGGAGTTTAGTCACCCCACTCCTTTTATAAGGTAGTTCTTTTTTTTTTCTTTCTTAGCGTCTCTCAAGAGCTATATGCTTTCTATTCTCCTTGTGCTTCAAGTAATAACATTTTTCACGACTATCTTTCGAGTATCCTATATGTTTCTTCACGTGCGGTTTTATTGTGCTGGGAATCATTAATGCACTAGGTTCCTATTAGCAATGATTTGTTATAACAATAGGCAAGCAAGCATTTGAAAGTTGATGGTTTTGTTGAAAATTCATTGGTTATTGCTTTTCAAGAGCTGTATCTCATCCATCTACCTTGTGTTTCAGCTAATAGTTATTCTTTATAAGCATCTTTGGGTTTTTATCCTGTCTAGTGATCTGGTTAGAAGTTTAAAATTGAAGTTTCTTATAGATATTTTTTCTGAACGATGCACTTTTATTCTGCTTGTAACGATTAATTCAGTTGGTTTTTTGTTAGCAATGATTTGCGTTAACAACAAGCTACATGCGTTGAGATTTGATAGAATTGTTAAGATTCATAGTGTTTTCTGTTGCTTAAGTTGGAACTTTAGGTTAGTTGCTACTGATATTCTAAAACTACGCTATGATTTTTGTAGAATGTATTGCTTTTTTCATAATATTATGCGTAGATGTTGCTGGATAACCTATTCAATTAAAAAAAGATTTCAAAAGAAATGGTGAAAACTATTTTTTTTGTTTGTTAAAGTCTATACTTTTATCATTTCTATTTTTCTATTTTTTGGTTTTGTAAATTCATTATATAGTCTGTAATTATTTGCATTATAATGAGTCCTTTATTATTGTTCTTTTTTTATTTTTTAATTATAATTTGTTATTGGTTAATTATCCTTTTGATGTAGAACGGGAGGGGGGTAATTTAAAAAAAAAATTAAAGAGCTAAAATTCCATCTCATATTTTCCTTAATTAATGGATTTGAATTTGAAATTCAAATATGAAAAAGAGGGAGGGAAGAGAGGAATTAATTATCTCCTTAATTGGGGCCTTTAATTAGGAAGGAAATAATTAGGATAGAGGGGGAGAGAGAGGGGCCGGCCTTATGAGGAGGGAAAAGGAAAGGTGACCCCACTTCCAAAAAAAAAAAATCTGAAATAAGTTCAGATTTAGTATGATTGAAGGATTTCCTAAAATAGATGTATGTTATTTAGGGAAGAATTTAAAATTCAATTGAATTTGAATTCGAAAACTTTCCAAATAAGATAGGAGCTAATTTAGGAAAGTAATGATGGTGAAATGAAATTGGAATTAAATGATTAATTAATCAATCAATTTCGGAATTGATTAATTAATTGAATGAAAGAGGTTACCAAAACTAAGGTAATTAATGAGGGATTTGAAATTCAAATTAGATTAATTTGAATTTAAAATCTTTTCAAATTAATGACAACTTAAATAAGGAAAGAGGGATTTTTTTTTGAGGGAAGTGGGGCTAGGGAAGGAGGTGGCTGACCGTTTTGCGGAAGAGGAGGGGTTTATGGGAGAATTGGTCGGTGGAAAGTGGGGGATTTTGGCCGGTAGTCAAGGGAGGAGGAGAAAAGGATTTAGGAAAAGAAAGATACAACCGCGAGCCCGGACATGCACATCCTGCAGTTGACGGGTACTACGCTGCCCTTCTCCAAGGGACTTCAAGTCACGAGCTCGGACACATCCTGCGACTGGTGGAAGCTACGAATTCCTCCCATAGGAATCTCACCCCAGGTTCTTCTTAAAGAACACAAGTGCAAACACAATTTTATTAATCATCCAACATTACATTACACAAGTAAGAGCTTCTATATATAGCTTAAGAAACTAAAACAAGACACATATGCCTCTAGGGCTTACATAGGACGACCCTCTTAAGTAAAGGTAAAAACGAAAATTTCAGAATAAAAATAAAAATTACAAATAACAAAATAAAATAAAGTAGAATGATCTCAGCCGTCGATCGTCGTCTCCTCCTTTAAAGATCTTTATGATTGGATGTCCGCATCACCTTTTCTAGCGGAAATTGTCTTTGGCAGAACTCATTTATAAGGTTTATACATGAAGCTTTAGTATTTTCATAGAACTATCCTCTTATTTATTGTAGCTGGCATTGAGCATGGTATGTCTTCAACATGATGAATAAGATTTTGTGCTGACCACTCCATTTAAACATTTGCAGGAGTAGGGAGTTTCTTTGGCAAGAAGGTCATACAGCGTTTGCAACAAAAGAAGAAGCAGACAAGGAGGTAGATACTTTGTCAACTTTAATGTGCTGAAATTTATCCGTCGTAACGAGCTTATGAATTTAGATGGTTAGGTTAAGGTCAAATAAGTTAGATGGACTAATAAAATGAGAAATCTCATGTGGACTAATCATAGAAATATCTGCTTCGTTTGTCATTAAGTATCAACATTTGTGAAGCCTTTTTTTCATACTGTGAAATATTGTTCCCAGGTTCTTGAGATATTGGAATTATATCGGAGAATTTATGAGGAATACCTTGCTATTCCAGTGGTAAAAGGAAAGAAAAGTGAGCTAGAAAAATTTGCTGGTGGCCTTTATACCACAAGTGTTGAGGTGTTGCTCTAATCTTTCATTTATGTTGTAGCACCATTTTGATGTCAATAATGATTCTAAAGAAGTTCTTAGATTACTTGACTTTTCTAGTTTTGACAATTTTTGCACTGCCTGCAAGGCTTTTATTCCAAATTCAGGTCGTGGAATACAAGGTGCCACTTCACATTGCCTCGGTCAAAATTTTGCAAAGATGTTTGACATAGATTTTGAAAATGAGAAGGGGGAGAAAGCGAAGGTCTGGCAGAATTCTTGGGCATACAGCACTCGCACGGTAAATTTCTTAGCTGATTAGGACCTTTCTTCTATTTTCCTTATATTACCATCTCCTTCATGCCTGTTGTATCATGATGTGAATGTTGAAATTCAGACTTCTTGATGCTCCACGTTTATATAGTATTGAGCTGGATATTTTTTTGTAAAGAGAGTAAGAGAGAATGAAAAGAATAGAAAACTGTAATTTTAATTTGTTTGGTTTGTGTGACCAACATTTATTGTAGAGAGAGGAGAGATTATTCTTATGAGAATGAATTTCAAGTTTCTATGGCATGAAATAAATTTAGTAGAAGATACCCACTCTTTCCCTTCATTCCCTTTTATAACATTGTAAATGAGAATTATGTTACTCATTTGTTGTCTTCTTCACAATTGCTCCATTTAGCACCCGAGCACTAGCATTCAACACTAAATGGATGAATTATGGCGCCTTTATGATGACCGTTCATCTCTGATCGATGTGATTCATATATTAGATGTCTCATTGATAACTTTGATATGGAAGAATTATTACTAATGCCATGCTGACAAGCTAATCTCCATAGTTCTTCTGCATTTAAATTTTATCTTTCTGACATGCCTATAATAAGTGGCGCTGTAATCATGTGTGCTTAGCATGGGACACATTTGACCCGGATTCGATCTTTGCAAATGAGCATACAAATCACCCATATCAGTTTCCCCTCATTTCAAATGTTTTTATATCAGAAATTGACTGTTGAATAAAAAAGTTTACCTTTTTTCATTTTCCTTCTTCAATGAATTTTTCTTTTGAGTTGTGCTTCCTAGTTAGCAACACATTTGATTTATCTTTGATGAGGGATGAGTTCATGAAGAAGAATCTCCCAACTGAGGCATTGCACCATATGAAACAAAGGCTGTAATCATCATCTTAGTGGCCCTTTCTCCATATTTGGTGATGCCTCTCATTGAAATCCCAGGGCTTAGTGTTGCACCAAATTAGGGACTTCATCTAAATCTAGGGCTTTAAGTGCCCCCCACTTAAACTTCTTGCTCTTTAAAATGTTGCTGTCAACTGTTTCCCTCTTGTCATCATCTTCCTTTACACCAATTGGGTTTTTTGAGCATTTTTGAGGTTTTGAGATGGTGGTAAACATAGTTCAATCATGTTGCATCCTCTCCATCTTTGAGGTTCCCATAATTGACTGCTACCAGTAAAGGACATTTACTTCCACCACAACATTCACATCTACCAGTAAAGGACAATTACTTCCACCACAACATTCACATCTACCCAGGTCGTTGGTGGAAATATCATTTCATTTCTCAAATCAGGTTTTTGTTTCAGAAATACTTAGATCTTTTTAGTTTTTTGAGTTAATTAGTGTCATCATGGATCCTCTATTTTCGATCGTGAGTGTTGTTAAACTCTACGCTAGTGACTTTTACTCCCCAAGACCCAATTTTGAAAGAATTGTCTATTTCACATCTTAATTAATCTACAAGAACCTCTAATCTCATCTATTTAAAGCAATTTTGAAAGAATTGTTTATTTCACATCTTAATTAATCTACAAGAACCTCTAATCTCATCTATTTAATAAAAACCACAAGAAGCAATTATAAATCATATGGATCAAAATATTTCTATATTCACTCATCAAAATTCTATTTATAATAGTTAGGAGGTCAAATCAATATACCAGTCTATCTATCTCTCTCTCTTGACTATAATGAATAAAATTAAATATAGAAGACAATAAAACCTGAGAATCCTAACCAGTTTGACTCCACTGAATCCTGACATCTTTTTGAAAACATATAAAAGACTGATCTGACAGCTCAGTAGGTTATCAGAACCTACATCTGCAATAAATGTAAGATAGTAGAAATAATACATATGTAATTATTCCATTGTTTAAAATTGCGCAATATGATGCTCGCCTCAGCGCAATCCTAGTGAAAAACACCTTGAGGCTTACGCCTCTAGCTTTTTTATGAGGCTTGCGCCTCAGCTTGGCTGAGGCCTGCCTTGAGTCACGCCTCGCCTCGCTAGCGTGAGGCTTACGCCTCACCCTATTTGTATATTTTTTTGTTAAAACTAACATAAATCACACATTCATGCACATTTGAGCGCAACAACTTCTTCTCGATTGCCTTTACCACCATCCCGCGACCTTCGCCGTAGCCAACACCGTCATAGTCGTCACCGACAATCACTTGAAAGCTGCACACAACCACCCTAAAAATTTTAGAGCATTAACTCATATTTATGTTGATAAAAGTATTTCTAAAAGATGAATATGATTGAAATAAATTTAAAAGAAGCATATTTGGAGGCATTTAACTCTACCAAGTGAGGCAAAGATAGACCAATTTGTTATGCAACAACTCATATAAAGATCATCTCAGTGATGACAATGCATATAATGTCTAAGTTGTTGCTAACTATTTAAGCTTTCATTAAGAATTAAAAGTTAATGAGTAGAGAATCGATAAAAAAGAAAATTTGGACTTGAACATTATGTTATATGATACTTTTTGCAATTTCTATATTTAATATTGTTTTGCTTTTATAATATTTGGATTTTAATTATATTTCATTCAATTTATTACTTGTCACTTTAGATCTTGTATAATTTTTTGTTTCATATGTATGTCAATTTGTTAATTCATAATTCAATAAGAAGTTAATATGTCATCATTTAACATATTATTTAAGTATTATATAAAAAATTGCTTTTGATATTTATTATCACTTTACGCAATTTTTTTATTTTGATGCTTACGCCTCAAAACGCCTTGAAGCTTACGCCTCGCCTCATGAACAAAAAACGCTTCAATACCCGATTATGCAATTTTAAACATTGAATTATTCAATTCAAATTAGTATGAATATATAATTTTAAGAACATATAACAATCAATATGAACAATGTCATTTCATATACAACAAGAAGTCAATATGAACAATGTCATTTCATATACAACAACAACAATATCAAGCCTTTATCCACTACGTGGGTTCGGCTACATGAATCCTTTTTCTCCATTTTGTTCAGCTAAGCGTCATTTCATATGAGCAATAAAAATCAATGCAAGATGATCAAATGGCCATATTAAGGATTAGTAGGTGCTGTTATTCCTACGCATATCAAGTATAATGCAACGGGTCTGTGATTAATCTATACCTGACTATAAATTAGGCCTTTTAGCTCAATCTATGTGCCATTTCATGTGTATCAATATACCCATCATATCAAGCAAGTGTTTTATATGTCATATGCATATCGTACAATATCAAGATATGTACCTTATGGAAGGTTTAAAATTGTGCAATTAAGTATTGAGACATTTTTTTGTTTGTGATGCAAGGCGTAAGCCTTCAAACGTTTTGAGGCGTAAGCCTCAAAAATAAAAAAATTATGTAAAGTGAAAATACATGTTAAAAATAATTTTTTATATAATACTTAAATAATATGTTAGAGGATTAAATTTTAACTTTCTATTAAATTATGAAGTAACAAATTGACACACATATGAAACAAAAAAAATACAGAAGACGTAAAATGACAAGTGATAATTGCGTGAAATAGAATTAAATCCAAATATTACAAGAATAAAATAATATAAAATATATGAATTGTATAAAAATATTATATAACATCAAATTCAACTTCAAATCCCTTCTTTCTTAGTTCCTTACTCATCCACATTAATTCGTAAAGAAAACTGAAATAGTTGTCAACAATTAAAAATTATATGCAGTGTTATCATTGAGGGAGTCTTTATTTAAGTTGTTGTCATAACACATTGGTCTCTCTCTTGCCTCATTTTGTTTAGTCCAATGCCTCCAATTTGTTTCTTATTTATTTATTTAAGTCATCTTCTTATTTCATAAAGGTTTTTCATAAAGATAAGGGTAATATTTCAAAATTTTTGGAGAAGGTGGTGGTGGTGGTGCTTTGTGGCATTTAAGTTATCCTCAACAACAGCTATGATGGTGGTGGATGCGACAATGACGACGGGCTAGAGGTCGAGGCAGTTGAGAGGAAGTTTTGTGGCTTGGGTGTGCATGAAGGCATGATTTGTTTGGGGTTTTAGTTTAGATTTAGGTATGTTTTAATAAAAAAAAGTACAAATAGGGTGAGGTGAGGTGAGGCAAGGCGCACCTCAAGGCATGCCTTATAAAAAAAAACTTGAGGCTTTTTTTACTGGAATTGAGCTAAGGCGGGCCTCGTATTGCACAATTTTATATAATGATCTATGCACTATATCATGTATGAATGTATCGTATCCAATACAATATTTCATGTGTATCATATAATTCATATATATCGTATGCATTCGTATCAATCTTGTCAGTCTTATCATATATTTGTATCAGTCACCATATAGAAGGTAGAGTGTTGACGAATATTTTCGCACCGACTCGACCCCGATCGAGCCCGACAAAGCTCGATCGCGCTCGATCAACTCAATTGATCATCATCGAGGTGAAATTAATCCGAATTAAGCCTCAATTTAATTAAATTAAATCAAATTTAATTAAATTAAAATCAAATCAAATCGAATTAAACCCCGTCGAGCCCAATTCGACGCAATTCGACACATTTCAGCATCAATTCGAGCTCAATTTCACAAAATTGACTCGATCGGACCCAAATCGATCCAAGTCGGGTTCGATTCGAAGTCGATTTTAGCCCCAATTGATTGATTTGGGCTCAATCAACTTCCCAAATCAGAAAATTGAAACCTTGGGCTGAGATTTTGTCTCATTTCTCACCCAAAATTTGGGTTCAATGTACTCAAGTACATTCCCCTCGTTTCAAGCAACGAGACAGCCTCATAGGCTCATTTGGGCGGCTCCCTTGTGCTGTCCGTCCGAAGCCAGAGCAGAACAAAGCAGCGGGAGAAGCAGAGGGAGAGGATTCGGCTCCCCCTTTGTTGTTTTCCTTTCGTGCCCATCCTGACACGGAGAGCAGAGAACGAGAGGAAGAGTCCCGCCGAAGCCCCGTTCGCGCGCTGAAACCCCTGTT